CAGTGAAGTGTTTTTCACTATTAAAAATAATAGTAATAAAAAAAAATCCTCTGGGAGAAAAGAAATGACACAGCACATCTCTGCTGTTCCTGAGCCATCCCACAGAGTAACAGCAATGCAGGAAGCCAAGCAACCCAAGAAGCAGAAACAAGTAGCAACACTCATATCTAGATTGCTAGAAGGAGCTGAGCATTAATTAATAATAAATATGAACGTGGGGCAAAAATGCTAGCATTTAACATAATGAAATAGGAAAAAAATGCAACTAGAGGGAAGTGACTGGCAACTGATAAAATAGAGCTCTGTAGTGAATAAGGGGAATCTCAAGGGATCTCAATAATGTGAAGACACAGACTTAATACAAAAATGTAACATTCCATGAGTTTAAGACTACGAAAAGTATTCTGTTCATTTATAATGAAATGCAACCACTCACCTGGATAATAAAACCATTTTTACTGGGAAAATCAGAGTACTGCCCATCCAAACTGCACGGAACTAAAGAAATTAGAGAGATGCCAGCACAGAAAACTCTTCACACAGTGCTACTGCTCCAGTACAGCAGCTAGAGAGATGTAATCACTGCACAGCATGTTTGAGAAGGGCCGAGGAAAACCTGATGCACTCAACTTTTTTTTCTCCCCCAAGAAAGAACACCAGAACATAGAATACAGATGTGTACTTTGTATGTTCTGAACAGAGTTGCCTCTAGGTAGCTATCTGAGGTTTTATGGTGGGCATTTAATACAGCTTGTTGTTAATCAATTAACGGGTAAAATAGAATGATGATGTTGCACTGCTTTGTATTAGTAGATTTGCCTCCGATCAGAAAACAAAGAAAAATACACCATTTCCACTTTGACCTGTGGACAGAGAGTACAAACATTTCAAAAATTCAGGGCAAATAGAGGAAAAGTTCTTTTCAGCTGTTCTCTCTCAGACCCTTTCTGTAATACAGCTGTCCTACTTAAACCAGCCTTTATGCTGTAGCAGAGAATAATTTCCCATAGAGAAAATTAAAGGCTGAATGGAGGAGAGACCAAATTTAGAGCTCTAACGAAGAAAGGCAGGAGGAATGCATGCAGAGCTACACTAGTCATAGTACACACCAACTTCTGTCCAGGTAGCAGGAAAATAGGGAAAAAAAAAAAAAAAAAAAAGGAAGATAAAGAACAGGATGACATGAGAGTATTTAAGGATCAATGTTGCAATGAACACCGGGACATAGATGAGAACAAGGCCTGTATCAGTCAGAGGAAGCATGAGATGCTTTGAGAGCTCCAGGCACTATGGAGAGAACTGCAGGCTGGGGCTACTGCAGAAAAAATCCGGGAGACACAGAACAAGTCACAGAAATCAGACTTAGCTCAGAACCCACATAATGGCCTATTTTCTGTTTGAGAAGGCAGAAGAAAAATCACAAGTTTTGTAAAGACCAACGGAGAGGTTGCTTTATTTTTTAAACCAGAACTACTGGGCAAAATCCCACAACGACCATCAGAAATCACAACCCGCCCGATCCGCTCACCACCTTTCACACGCAGTTACATCTGAGGTCTCACCTGCCTTCCTCTCCTGCTCTTCACAGTACATCACCCACGTCTATTCCGCCCCTGGTCAATGCCCTCCACGCTCTCTAGAACCACTCTGAGCCTCCTACATCACGCTCATAGCTGCCTTTGCACATCTCCAAAGCTTTTGTTGAATCTAAACCCCGACTATAACCACCGCTGTATTTTTGGCCAGTCCCTTCACATGCCAAGTCATGTCTGCAACACACGTCAGCTCACCATAAGGGAGAGTTTAATACCGTTCTGGATTTATTTAAAATCAGAAAACTGAACTACTTAAGTGAAAGCACAAACACCAAGTTGCAATGCCAGCACAGTAACTCCGGGGCAGAGAGATATTGGTGGCAGCTGAAATCCTACTGCTTTGCTAGGAGAATGCAATGCTTCCCTTCATCAGCACAGATAAGATGCATGCTGTGCTATAAGCAACACCTTTTTTGCATCTAATTATTAAAATTAAAAATAAAAAAAAAAGCTGATGTTCAGTTCTCACTTTCCTTCTCTCATGTAAATATGAGTTTCTTGAAAAAGCACAAACACACAAAACAGTTGCTTGAAAATAAAGCAGCATGTTAAAATGACTGTCTGTGCCTTCTCATGTCTGCACTTATGGTCAGCCCAAGCCTACCACGAGCATCTAAAAACAGACAGAACAAACCCATTTCTTTAAACTTTCAGGTTCCTTCATGCACTGCTCTTCTGTACTACTTTCAGGAAACAATATCACGTTGTTTTGTAGACTGAAAAACCAAGCAGGGCACCTGGCTTATTCCTCCACCTATTGGAATATTCAGGGCTGTGGACATCAACGCTCTGCCAGGCAATGCACTGCTGCCATGACAAACGATGGGAGCCTTCTGAAAGCTCACCCTGCAGTCTCAAACACACACCTCAGCAGGGATCTAAATGTTACGTATTTGCTCACGTCCTCAGAAGGGAATGTCTGCTATCTTAGGAAAGGGACCACATTAAACATGAGAAATTCAAAAGCTGGAAACTTCTTTCATCTCATTTTTCTTCTATAGCATAGCTAAGTATTACTACTGCTTCGTTGACTTCAGGCTTTTTCACAGAACATCTTTTCCTCCAAAAAAGATAACTTCAATCGCATCAACACCACACCGAAGTTTCCAACGATTAACGATTCTTTTGTTTTCCCTTAAGTTGTTCAACACCACCAGATAGGACTTCCAATTCCTTCCAAACTGATGGAAGACAGTTTTCTTTCATTTACATAAATATTTAATGTAACAATCACAAGCTACATGCAGTATTCAGTTCCTAATTACAGCACTTACTCAGTATTGGTACAGTCTTGCCCTGTGACAAAACTCAATGACGCAGCTGTGCCAGCCATTAGGCCAGGACCCAAACCAGACTGCAATATGCACCTTTCTCCACTGCCCACCCAAATCCTGACCTCATGTTCTGCGGCACAAATCTCTCTGACAAACCAATAACTGCTTCTTCAGCTGGACCAGAAGCATTCCCAGTCCAAACGAGCACGCAGCACATCGCCAGAACAGCGACATCCCTCTGTGCCCTGGAATGGGCGCTGGGAAGAAAACACTGTCAGACTCCAACCTCCAGGAGCTTCCTGACACACACTGCGAGGCAGAAACACACTGAGCCTCCCTCCAGTTTTCAGGGTTGCCCAAACACCAGAAAAAAAATGGCTTTGTTGCCAGGAGGGTAAAACACGATAAAGTCAGTTTGTTTCTTAGCTTTTCTCCTACAAAGAAAACAAAAGAAAAACAAAAAAACCAACCCACCGTGGTATTGGTACACAAATCTAAATGAAGTGTCAAAACAGAGCAATAATAACTGTGTATACAAACTAACGATAGCCACTGGGAGGGAATTCATTACTTTAAAATACCTAGTTATAAATATCATACTTTTCCCCTGAGTAGTAATATTAACTCCCTTCTTTAAATTCATACACACAAGACGACTAACCTTAGACAATAAAACACGGAATCGGATAGCAGAAGATAGGAATCATTTCAGTCACAAAAGAGACTGACAAAGCCCTGTCCTCCAGCCAACACAAAGTACTGGCTTACGTGAAATGACAGTTGAACTGAGGTTCCTTTTTACTGGGTCAGACATATAAAGAAAATACCTGAAAGCATCCATGACTACAATTCCTTCCTCACAAAACTACTGAATCTAACTGAAGAAAGAGGAAGAAAAGAGTGCCAAGGCTTCAAGGGTTGACTTGGCTTACTTAAATTCACTACTAAGAGAAAGTAAATTTTCAAAGTACATGAGAAAAGCAAATAAAGTTGTCATCCAAGTCCTGAAAATAAAAGCTATTCAGTTCTGCTTCTGCCATTACCATCAGCGGATTTCATAAATACATAGACTTGTATTCAACGCTTAAAAATATCAGTTTATGAAATAAGGTCATCATTATACAACACTGTTTGGGCAACTAAGGCTGAGAACAGTTATTTGAAGTTCCCTATAACCTCAAGACTTTCTGAATCATAAATACTATTCAGACTTACCAATCACAAGGGCATATTCCCCTTATTTGTCGATCTTTGTAGTGGATTTCGTAAGTTACATTTCAACCATTTATTCCTATCTAAATATTTCTGCCTGTCCCAGTTTTTCCCATGACACTTGAAAATTGCCTATTTCCCTTTGCCAATTTCCCACTTTCTAAAATGACACATGACAATGACCTTCTATCTTTAGAGTCTGTCAGCCAAACCCACATTGATCACAGAGGGGAAAGATGACTGGAAAGAAGTCAGTGAAAGGCCATCATCTCAGAAGCCACGCACCCTGGCCCCAAGATAACACAAAAGAACGATTTTTTCCCCCCTCTTCAACCTGCACTACGTACCAACATTAATTCCTCCAGCAAATTCCTTGCTCCTCCTACTTAGCCTTGTCCATGATTAATCCTTTCTGATTCTCATGAATTGGCGTATGAATTTCTGCACAGTCAAACAGAAGAGATTTTAGCTCCACCTTATCAGGATGCTGACAAAAGGCACTATGTGACAGTCAGCCTCCTCCTCTGAACAGCCTCACGAAAAGACAGTTAAAGTGTTGAAGAAGGGGAACAAAGGAAGCAAAGTCCCTGGCTTCCTGCTACTACAAGACCATTTCAGACCTTCCAACATCACAAGGGGCCCTACTGCTGGTGATAACTCAAAGAGGAGAAAATGTGCTTGGTACCATGTCTTCATCACACTTACAAGGCAACTCTTCCATGTTAAAGGTTAGGCATGCTGGAAGAATACCACGGGAAAGCAAACTCCTGTTATTTATGAAATTGCTGTCGGAATGCAGCAGTTGACACAAGACCAACTGGAGCCACTCTGCAAGAGCCAGTGGAGGCAAAGCCCTTCCAAACCCCTCCAGAAGGCGGGCAGCAACTGGGCCTTGCTGCTCCAGTGCTCCACTCTGCTTACGAGCGCCGCGGTGCTGCCATGTGCCACGCGCCACCTTCACAGCAGGAGCAAGAGAGGTATTTCTGTCTCTACCTCAATTACAGATTATAAAAGATCACTGATTTTTTATTTTTTTTTAACAGGCTTTACTGTAGTTAACTTAGCTAAAACTTTAACCACCTTCAAATTCACCTTAGCACTGTTAACTATTAAGCACTTTAATTACCTAGAACACTTGATTCCATACAGTTCCTCAGATAACTAATTAGCTAAAACGATCAAGGATTGAAATCCCAAAGGAAATTCTTCTGGTTCCGTAGAACTGCACAGGTTTCTGCTTGCTAATGCTGCACCTCTACATGAGGCCAATTCACACACAGGTGTAGGACAACCATCCCTTCATCTGTTTACGAGCAGAAAACAAAAGTCCCCACATACTCAAAGGAAGCCAGTGCATTTAGCTCTGCACGTCCTGCGCCGCCACCAGAAACTAAGAGTTTTTGAGTAACACTGAAGAAAAACTTTTGATTCCCTTGTTTTTATAGCACATTACACATCACATCAGGTATCCTTTTTCTGCTTCAAAGGTCAATTATCAGAGGGCAACCAAATCAAAGGCAAACAAGTTTTAGATAGGACTTCAAACTAGACTTCTTTCAAGCCACATGAATAAGCCGCATCAAGAGGAATAATTCAAAACTGCATCTGTGCACGTGGACTCTAACACTGGAGACTGGCTTCATCTCCAGCACACAAGTCTTCACAACCTCTCTGCTGTTATGCATCACATATATGCTGTGTGATTGGCAGCAGGGCTGCGCTGGCACAGGGGCTGCAAGGTAATCCCAGTCCTTTGCTAGGAGAAGACAGAAGCCAGCAGAAGCTGCTGAGGCCAAATTTGCCACGTTGCCCTGGAATCCAGCGGCATGTTCAACTTAGCCCAAGCCTACAACACAGAAGTGAGATACTTAAAAAAGCAATACTGCTGCCAACCTCAGTGTTCCAGTCCCTCGCCAACTCTGCAGCCTTTGTGTAACAGGTCCTTGAGATCCCAGACTCACACAGATTTCGGTATGCAGCCCACAGATTCGGACAGTTATCCACCAATGCTATATATCATTAACACAGCATCATCTCTTTAACAGCATTTGTATGCTTAGTAAATGTAGGACTTTGTTGGCTAAATGGATTGATAATTGTAAAGGCATCAAGGATGCCCATCTTAATGCTGAAAGTTATACTTAAGAGGCAGATTTTGAGAGCTGCTACATCAAAGTCAACTCATGCAAACCTTTTAAGTTTTGCAAGTATTTTAAGAAGTCTTTACTAAAAAGAGCAGCCAAACAGTGAAGACCACTCAGCAGAAATCAGATGTAGGACCAGGAACTTAGGAGAAAGAGTTGTCTTAAGAAAACATTGCTTACAAAGAGGAGCTAAAACCACATAGTGTACCACAGAATGCAACTTATTACGAATCAGCCTGAAGTTTCTTTCAAAAGACTGTGTACCTTATCCTAAATCAGCATTTGGGGATTAGGAGAAAGTACTGTCAAGGCTCCTTAGCTAAACGTTTAGCTCAGACATTCTTACTAAAGAATTAATACTGCAAGACTAGTGAAAGCTTAATCTGCCCAAAACAATAGGACACAGAATAAATTAAACTGACTAGAAGGTAGGAGGTGCTAATACAAGAATACTGTTTGAAAACAAAAAGGCAAAAACAGTACTATCATCTCAGAATTTTACATAAAAGGAATAAGGTCTAAAATTCCAACACCTTAATTCAATTCAAGTTGATTTAGCAGGTTTTGGTACATACACACACACAGATGCTTGCCACACCAACTAACATCCAGATCTCTACCAACTCCCTACTATGGTTAGGTGAAAAGTCTGAGGAAGATTTGATTTCTAAGAAAGAAGATATTTCCATTTTTCATATCTTAAAATGCCATTCTCCTCCTCATTACGATCAAGTAACCGTATAGATTTCAAGCACAGAAAGAAAATCCTTTAGAAACATAAATCACAAACATCTGGGCAAGCAAAAGCAAAAAAAGAGAACAAAATCTGACCCGCTGTCCTAGAAATACATATCCCAATCTTATTTTGTGAAGACAGAGAACCCTGCTTGCTCTGAATAAAGAAAATTGCATTCATTTTGTACACTAACAGAAGGTGTATTTACAGCGGTATAAATCAATGCATAGGTAAATTATAGCAGAGGTAAATTAGTGTCAACCATGTTGTGAAAGAAACTGCAGTGAGAAAAATAAAAATTAAAAAAAAAAAATCAAAACACAAAACTTGAGCCTTGATCAAATCAGCAACATTGAACCTGGATGCAAACCATTCTACACCATTAGCTCCTACTTCTTACTAGTGCCTGACTTTTTCAAGTTAATGTCTCTCAACCTCTAAAAATACATACTCAGATTCTACAGAACATGAAAAGGCAAAAAGAAGGAAATATTTCAAGTTATGAAACAAAACCATCTATCGTGTGGAACACAGACATAAGGTAAAGTGTAAAGAGAAAAAAAAAAAACAAAAGTACTTACTCAGCATTAAATCCATTCACATGCAAAATCCTCATCTGTTTGACTATTGTGCTTTTACCAGATTCACCAGCACCTAGAAAATGAAAGTAAATCAAGTTGAGAAGGAAGCATGAGTGATAAGGGACATCATTTTTTCTTCACGGCAAAATCAAGAAAGTTGGTTTTCTCAGCGCAAGAGTGAAAAGTGAAAGAAAAAGAAGTAATTGCCACTGGAAACTTCAGTTGTAGCTAAAAATAAACGCCCAGCTCAAGTCATGTGTCAGATCTGAATCTTGGATCATTTCACTGTCCATTTTTCCAGTGTCAATGTTAAAAGCAGACTGCGAGGTCTGGGAGGAAAAAGGACAACTTCAACGCTTTATAGAGGACAAGTCAGAGAACATCAAAATCTGCTTGTCTCGTCAACACTATCCAGCGAAGGGAAAGACTGAGTGCAGTCCAGCTTAAAGGGAAGTGTTTTTGTTAGACCCTTAAAATATATTGTTTGACTGCAGTTATCACCACCCAATCAAAAGACTGTAACTTAAATCACAAGAAATAAGATACGTGGATACTCACATCTGAAAAGGAAAGGCAACCCCTTAAGCCTCCACCCACCAAGCTACACAAGTCTCCTTTCTCTAATCCGTGCCTTGGAAGCAGCCTCAACCCCCTCTGTGTGCTCCAAACCGATCCCACACCCAGTGAGATTATGTCCCACATTAAGGACACCTCTTGTGGCTGCATGTTCCAAACAGGCCCCCACCGCTCTCCTCTCAATTCCCTCGTATACCTGAAGTACAAATAAATAAATAAATAAATACTCCACTTCCTCTTATTTCCATAAGTAGCCGTATTCTATTTCTGCTGTGCTGCACGGATGCCAGTGCACGAGGCAGCCCATCTGCCCATAGCACCCATTTTCCCATGCACACGGAGAAGACTCAAACAACAGCATTTAACTGAGCTGCTCCACGCTGCCAGATCAGCTTTCTATATAAAGCAAGCATGTTTTTCTAAGAGTAGTATCACAACCTGGTAAAATTTAGCAAGATTCTCTCCTGAATCTCCTGCTGCTTGTTTATTCCTCTCCTCGCCCTGTGTCTCAGCACCAGGAAGGCATGTGGCAGAACGGGCACCGAGGCACAGCCTGTGCTCCAGGATGCCAGGCCTCCATAGCACACGCTGACAGCACAAGCCTCCATTTTGAGCCTCATGTTCGAAACTGTATTTTAGCAGCTACACTTGGAAGTTCATTTTCTGACAGATGCACTCCTCTCCACTTTCTGCTTTCCTTCTTTTCCCTTCCCCCTCATGAATTCCTAACAGCTCTGCTCTTCTCTCCATAAAATCAGTCCGCACGTTTTGCCACAATACCAAAGTCTTGCTCCTTTCCCCTCGCCTTACTGACCAGTTGGTAAGATGCAGGGAGCAGGGCTTGCCTGCAGTGCTCTGTGCAAGCAGCACATCCCCTGAACCACGGCTGCGACAGATGCGCTGTGCCCCGGCTGCACCCCTCGGGCACACACCCTGCACCCCCATCCCGGCAGGCAGAGACACTGAGCACCTCCAGGGGGCACAGATGGGGTCCTCTTCGCAACAGCAAACTGTTCAGGAGCAGTAACACATGCTAAATCCCTATTTCAGATGTGACTTTAAATTATGTCTGCTAATCAAAAGCACTTCCAGCCAAGATCTCGATGTCGCTAAGTCCAAAAATGGAGATTGCTGTTGCTGCAAATGCATACAGCTTGGCATTGACATACCTGGCGTCTCTGGATCGGATACAGCAGCAGTGAACCAAAATTAAGTGTTACAGCCACATTTCTGAATAAGCCTATTTCCGTAACTGGCAGCTCGTTACGGCTCTGTTCTTGCAAACATCGATGCACACGTTTTAACTTCACCACCAAGGATAGTTCCATGAATTTCAGCCTGCGGATGGAGCGGGGCCCGCGTGCAGCAGGATGGGCTGCGGGCTCACCGAGCTGCGATTCTGTGGCATTATTTGAATGCGATCTGAAAATACTGAGACTGCCCTGCACTTCCAGAGCATTTGGTGGTTCCACGTAACGTGTCTCACAAAGCAAAAGTAACACCATGGAGACATGAGTCTCACTACTTGCACAGTAAGTTTCTGCTGCAGACTGCCCACAGCAGGCGAGGCTGCCAGCAGCTGTGCCAGCACAGCCACACGCACAGAGGACCCTATGGCCACTGCTACGCACCTGCAACATTTTATTTGCAAAGATCCAAACAATTTTTCAGTCACCCGAACTGAAGAAAACAAAGAAAAAAATCCAAGGAAGCCCCTGTGTGTCACAGAAGTGATCCAGCTGGTGAGGAACGGCTCCGCGCACGCAGTGCTCAGTCCCAGCACAGCAGGCCGGGCTGCTCGCTGCGAGCTGAACTCCAAACCGCACCGCTGGAAGATTTCTGCTCAGCGCCGAGCGACTTTTCAGCTCCACCGGTGCCGCCGCAGCTCCAGCACGTCACACCTCCCTCTTTAAACGGGCACTTAGAGGCTGCGGCCGGTCGGGGCACACACGCAGCCCGCTCCCCGCTCGGTGCGGCCTGGCCTCTGCCGCTCGCCGAGCCTCGCGATGCCCTCATCGCGCCTTATGTTAAAACACTCCCAAACACTTTGAAGCCGTAAGTGCGGGAGCGTTCGCTCTCCGATAACCGTTCCGGCCTCTCTTTCCCGTAACCCCCACCCGCGGTCCGCAGCGGCTGTTCCGTACCGCACGCAGCCGGGGCGGACCGCCGCCGCCGCCGCCTCCCGGATCCCGGCCCGCAGCCCGGCCCCGCGCCGCCCCGCACGCTCAGCCTCGAGCGCGGCCGCCGCTCTTCCCTCCGGGATCAACATCCTCTCCGCGTCCCCCCCCCAAGAATTCCCCGACTTCCTCCTTTCCTCTTCCTCCTCTCCCTCAGCCCCCGAGGGCGGCGGGCAGCGCCCCGGGCCCGCCGAGCTCGTGCCGCGCCGGCCTTCCCCGCGGCGCCCGGCCCCGTTTACCTCCCCGGCTCCCTCGGGCACGGCGTTCCCCGCCGCCCGGCATCCCCGCCGCCCTCCTCCCGCCGAGGCTCCACTCGCCCTCCGGCCCCGCGTCTCTCCCGCCCGGCGCGGAACGGCTCCCGTATCCGCGTAGCCCGCCCGAGCCCCCCGCGGGCGGTGCCCGGACCCCCCCCCGCCCCCCCCGCCTCCGCGCCCACCGCCCCGGCTTGGCCGAGCGCTCGGGCCCGGCGGGGCTGCAGGCCGCCCCCGGCCCCGCGGAACGGGTGGGCCCCGCGGATCCGCTTCCCCGGGCCCCACCTCTCCCGCCGGCCTCCCCGCGCCCGGGCAGGGGGCAGAGGGACCGCGCGCGGCCCCGCCGACCTCCTTCCTGCCTTCCTGCCCTCCTCCCCTCCGCCCGCCGCGGAGGACGCGGCCCGCGGCCCCTTACCCAGCAGCAGGAGCCGGTGCGTGGCCCTATAGACCTGCTTGTCCTTCTGCAGCTGCTTCTCGATTTTCTTGTTGGCCTCCCGCTGCGCCTTCTCCTCGTTGCGCTGATCCTCCGTCTTGCTGTTCCCTAAGCAGCCCATCTTGGGGAGGGGGCGGCAGGGGACGCGGGGCGCGGGGACGGGAGGCGGCCGGGGCTGCCGGGGGGAGGGAGGGAGGGAGGGAGGCACTCTCCCGGGCTGCCTTCTTCTTCCTCCTCCTCCTCCTCCTCCTCCCCCCCTACTCGCTGCTGTGGCGGCCGCTGCCCAGAGCCAGAGACATGGAGAGAGCCGAGCCCGGAGCCAGCCAAGGGGGGGCCGATGGCGATGACTTTGCTGCCGCTCCGCCGGGGCCTCCTCCCCGGCAGCTGCAGCTGCTTCTCCTCCCCGCCCCCCCCGCTCGGCCCCGCGCCGATCCCCTCAGCGCACCTTTCCCCGGGGGGGGCCGCGACGGAGCGCGCTGCGGAGCGCTCGGTGATGGCCGGGCCGGGCCGCGGCTCCGTCAGGCGGAACAGAAATCGCGCCCCCC